CGAGAGCAGCTTTTCTATACTCGAGATGTCTGCGAGCCATGAAGAAGGATGCTGAGGCGGATACGTGGCTGGCCAGAAGTGTCGTTACGTACAACCTTCTGCGGCCAGATGACCAGCGTGATGAGACCAGCCTCAAGTGGAAGGACATCCACGGTCTTGTGGTGTACGAGTATCTCGATTCGCTGGATGTCGAGTTTGGTGACTACAACAACGACGGCTATATGGAGTCTTGGTTTGAGCCTGAGACAGAACCCGAGCCAGAGGAGATGTTTGCCAGATAGACATCGAAGTAGGCACACGAGGCCTACCCCTCGAGAATTAACGTGGGCAGATGCATTGCACTCACTGTCGATTAGACATGAGTCGTGTTTGTAATTATGATGAGCAGTGTTCGAGAAATGGCGTAGGCTCGAGGTGGTCATCAACACCTTCAAATAAGCTGCCGAAGACACTGGCACATCCGTGACAGATGTCACCGAAGAACTGCAAACATCACGGGGTCGAGTCAGGCACATGTTCACAATGACAGTCGTAGGGGCAGGTACAAAGTTCCGTCACTGTGCGATTAACATATGGAAGAAAAAGATCATGGACATATTAGACATAAGCATCGCTTGCCCGCCAAAAGTGCGAATCCGGACTCAACCACCCATGCGAACTCCAAGCTGAGAACCGACATCCCTAATAATACAACACACAGTATCGCTACTTAGAATCTGATGTTTGAGACAACGCAGCCGTCTGAACATAAGTAACCCTTCCAAAAAATGTCGATCCTCGTTCCATATCATTAAATCCGTGCACATCACACCGAGCCCGTAGTAGACATCTTTTCCTCCTCGTGAGGCGGACCATCCTCAACGTAATTAACCCATTCAAACACCCGGTCCATCCCCCTCCCGGGTCCAGTGAGGCCAGCAAGCGTTGACGATTTGGGCGGCGAGTCCGGTTCCCGGCGATGTTGCCGGTTGCCGGCATCGCGCCGATGGCGGCCCGACCGGCGAGGCCCGGTAGCGACTGGCGGCGGTGCAATGTCCTCGTCGTCCTCGTCAAAATCATCCGTGCGGCGGTGGACCCTGGTCCGGCCCGAGCTTGGCCTTGGTTGCGGCCCGGCGCTTCGCGGGCTGCTGTGGCTGTTATACAGTTCCTCTTCCATGGTGTGTCGCCTGCGGACAGGTGTTATACCGGGCGACGAGTGGTGGCCCATGGGCACCATTTGCGGTGGCATCATTGATGCGGGCATAATCGGCATTGTCGCCGCCGTCTTTAGCATAGGAGGAGGCGGTGGTGGTCCTCGATGAGCCGCCGGACGCATCGGAGCCTGTCTCAGGTCCGAGTTGAACCTGTCGGCCAGCCTTCTCTCCATCGAGCTTGCCCGGACACCGCGGGCGCGGTGGACTCCTGAGACGTAGTCCGTTCCGCCTGCGGTGGTTCTGTCGTAGGGAGAGTGCTGTGGTGCTCCCCTAGGTTCTGTGTGCGGTGCTGGTGGTACAATAATCGTTTCTGGCCTTCGCCGGTAGTCGTCATTCATGTGGTGGCCGGCCTGGTGTCCAATCCCGTGGATATCTCCAATCCGTCCCTGATAGTCGTCGTCGTCATCGTCATGATCATCATATTGGGCCAAGGCCCTCACACGGCGTGTGAATCTCTCGTCTCGCTGTTCCTGCAGCCGATGTAACAAAATCTCTTCTTCGTAACTCTGCGGTCGAGGCCGGGCTGCTGCCGCCGGAGAGATGGTGCCCGACCGGAAGTCTCTCGGTGAGGGTGGAGCGGTGTCAAACATCACCTCCGACCGCATACTCAGGGGGTCTGATCTGATGTGCATTGGTATCTGCATGTGGTCCAGACGGTCGGCTTCGACTGCGTCGTGGCTGAACCATGGACAATCACAAGTCTTCCACTTAGATCCACATATCATGCAGAATTCGGCACCACAACGACTACGCGAGCAGAGAGGATTAGGTTAGCAAGTCTTGAGAAAAGACGAGGAACGAAGGAATGTAAGGATCAATGACATACCACGTCATGTGGTTGCAACCCTCCTTGAGCTCAACCACAGCCTTGCAACGGTGGCATCGCTGCCATCCCAGCTGTTTTGCCTGCTCGAGGAACCTATGCGTCTCCTCGTCCCTCGGACAGTCCCTAGAGCTATGCCACCTTCCGTTGCACGAATAACAGACTTTAGTATGGCAGCGGCCGCATTTGGCGTACTTGCGTCCGTCCACGTCGCGGTGGATGTGCTCCGGTTTGATCCATTCGCCGCAGCGCCTCGACGGACAGTAGATGCGGTTGCGTGTCGAGAATTCGGCGTACTTCTTGTTCCACTGCTTCTTGAAGCTCGTGTCGAACAGTCTTTCGACGTGCTTCAGGGGAATGTGGTCTGTCGTGCAGCACCGAGGCGGCATGTGCTGAGGATCCCGTACTGACAACCTGAAGCTGTCCTTTAGGCATGAGTTGCACATTCGATGACCACACTTCAGTTTTGCTGACTTATGGGATGGAACATCGTCTTCCATGCATATGACGCATTGGACGCTTGGTACGTTAGCTAATGAGTCTTCCCATCGTAATGCTGAATCGAAGCTGGTATGACCTACAGCTTTACGGGCCTGTCATAGTGATGCGCCTGGATAGCGGGCCCAAAGAAGTTTCCGAGAAATGAGGAAGACCGCCGGGCAGAGGAGTGTGTGCTCTGGGACGATCCCACATTCGATCCTATCGTTGTGCGAGCCTTCCGTGCTGACGATGGGCGGCTGTCGTGATATGCAACTTCGGTCTCATAGTACTTTCCGGTTACCCTGGAGATACGACATTAGCAACTGCAACGTTAGTGCTCTAACCTGCCGGTCTCGATGCAGATATACCTCTTGGATGGCATGTGCCTTGAACGAGAACGGGACTGAGGTTCGTCGGTGGTACTGCTCCTTCGACGTTCTTTCCCAACACTCCGGTGATTCTCCCGCATGCCCGATGGCGCCCTGGATGGTGCTCTGGACGGTGCTCTGGACGCGCCCCGGGGTGGGGTTCTCGGGCCGTCAAGGAAGGGGTTATATTTGGGGGGAACCTCGCAGTCCTCCTCGTAGATAACCTCGCCCCGCCGAGGCTTGGGCAACGGCTCCGGTTCGCTGTCCACATCGTATTCCCGATCATCTCGTCTGGTTTTAGAACTGTGTTCATGGGACCCTCTCTCAAACTCTTCTGGATACAGTAGCTCTTCTCGTCTCGGCTTCGGCTTCGGTTGCCTGCGCTCCTCCTCTTGAATTAGTGTATCTTCTCGCCTCAGTCTGGGCCTCCGTTCCCTACGCTCCACAGGTATATCTTCCTCATATATGACATCTCTGCGACTCTTCGGCGGTTTAGGTGCTCGAGGCGGCGGTGGAGGTTGTGGGGGTACGTGCGTTGAATGCACCGCCTTCCCTGGTCTGTCTTCTTGCGTCGACGTGGTAACGTCCGTGTCTGCATGAGATTCCGACAGAGACGTTCGAGACGAGCGCCGCGACCCGGCCATTGATCGGTATAGATGCGCCGATGGCGGACTGACGTCGCGGCGCGACTCGCTCCTCCGGCTATCGGACCGCGAATTGTCTTCCTCGTCGTATATATAGGCTGGCCATCGGTGATGCGAGACCGTGGCCGCTCTCGACAGGCCGGGCGCGGCCGCGCTGGGGTTCCGCATACTCATGCTCGAAGACCTCGTCAGCGACGATCGCGTTGGAGTCGTCGGCACCTTAGCAGTCGGGCCCGGTCGTCGATGGGCGCCAGATGATATCGTGCCAACCTCGGAAGCGTCTATATCTCCATGTAGCGTCCGGCGAGGCGAAATCGTAGCAACGGGTTCGCCCGTCCCTAGCCAATCATTATCGGGCACAGGTGACGCTTTACGTGAAGGTCTCGTTCGGCGTGAGGTCTGGCGGCCCTGGACGTCGTCTAGTGCGGCCATTCGTCACCGGGGGGACGTCAGTAAGCCCTGAGCACCGCAGCATTACAGTGCGACAAGTCTTGGAGCGGCACTTGACGTCTGCAGACTTTGGCAGCGTCGGACAGCGTGGTTGCTTCTGACTGGTCAGACCAGACCTAAGGACTGCATAAGCTCAGCTGTTATTGGGAGATCGGTCGCATCAGAGCTCCCTGGAATGCCTGCTTTTCATGCAACCGCCTGGGTCCAAAACGACGCTGGCGTGCAGTAGCTCGCCGGGGAACGATGCAATCGGAAATGCTGAACGCCTGAGATGCGTTGCGCAGCTCTTGCTGCGTACTACTTTCAAGGTGGTCTGCTTTGGGCATCAGCGAGGCCGAAGGTGAAGTGGATATCGGCTCCCTCAGTGGCCAAGACAATTCAATCGTTTTGTGATAAGGAACGAGGTGTGCGAGACATCGGAAGCCTCAAACGGGAAGGCCAGAAATCATGATAGTCGTGCATACAGGAGCACGAAGTGCACAGGTCAAGACATCTGTGGAAGCGGCGGCAATTGACTTGTGCCACTCGAAGATATTGTCACCTGGACGCAGCAGCGAATAGCAGAAAGCACGACAGGAAGCTGAAAATCAAGGGGGCTGAACATTTCAACAGGAGTCTCTTGATCATCTCGATTCCCCTCCATTTCACGTGATCTTCGCGTCCTGTCCGAAAAGGGGACCGTGGGTTGATTGATTGAGGCAGGCAAAAAGACAGGACAGAAAGGGGGCAGTGAAGCCTCAGAATCCTGTTCCAAGCGAGGCAATATGGGGGAGATTGCGGACGTGAGAGCGGGTGTACGAATGCCTAGCGCAATGTGAGAACGTATGACGAACGGCACAGACATGTCAATCGAATCCGTTGGAGAGGAAGAGTCTCATTCCGCCCTCAATTGGCGGGGACCTTGCTGTCCATTGAACGTGGAAGGAGCACAGGAGCCAGTTCGCACCTTCCTCCAATTGACATGTGCCGAATAACGCAGCACAATCTCGCAGCACAACAACATGGCCAACGAACCTTGAGAGAACAGCAACAAAGAGAATTGTGGAGGAGCTGGGAGTCGAACCCAGTACCTCGTGCAGGAACATGTACTGATTAACGGCTCTGGACGAGCGGTTATTCACTGAAATGCTAAGCACGCGCTCTACCAGATGAGCTACACCCCCTATCACAGCCCTGGCTGCAACCCCTGAGTCGCTCAGAGTCGCTCTGAGACGGGGGCATGGATTCCTGCGATCTTAAAGTGCCTCATCTGGGAGACTGTGGATATGTCGCCTGTCGTTGGATTTCATGTGGTGGATTTGTGTGATTTCCTAGGGCAACTTTAGTCAGCAAGCCGCCGTCCCTGAACAACAACCGGGCACACCAAGAAGGACTCACGGTTCGCGGTCAGCGACATGATTTCGTATTTGAACTATGATGTATCCCTCCTGGCTCGATGTGCCGCTCTAGTTCTCGAAGAATGGACGGTCAAGTCTTGTAAACCCAGAGAACATGGAGACTGCCAGACAGGCGGCGGTTACTTCTAGCAGGGAACTCCATGCCGAGAAATGCTTAAACGCGAAGATTCCCCATCCAAACCTGACACAGAGCCTACGCCATTTGGCAAAGAGCAGACTGGCAACCTTCGAAGCATCTTCGTAACCATAACAAGTATAGATACCCTCATCTTCCTAGCTGTGAACGTCCTGGCGAGGCATCGCCCACCGCACGGCATGTCGCTGAACCCTCACATGTGGGAGACTGGCACACCCTTAATTCTTCTTCAATATGTTTTCAACCGACACCACCGCGTACCAGACGGCTGAACACTTAAGTCACGCTCGGATTGCCACTGTAGAGAGTCTCCTGGGGTATGCCGGTGTTCCATGAACAAGTGGTCAAATCGGCCGAGCATATCGTTCGAACAGGTCTCTGCTCGTCGTATTGTGATAGTGACAAATGCAGCGTGGACGTTAGTCGTACTGTCCCATTGCCGATGACAGATAGCAAAGATGGAGACATGGCGACATGGTAACCATTGCGTTCGACATCCTTCGGCGGGAGCGATTTTAGCGAGGAGAGATTGCAACGGCGTTCTGAAATCCAACTTCTCCCTCAAGGCGCCATCTCCTCGCCCTTATTACTCCGCCCAAACAACCTTCTAAACCCCCCTTTACTAGGCGTCTTCGGTCTCTGCCCGTGCCCGTCCGCAGACGTCGCCGTCTTCAACGCCGGGGGCGGGCCCTTGGGTATCTGCTCCCACTTCTCTTTATCGGTCCGTACCGGAAACCTCTTGCCATTCTTGTCAATATCCTCAAAGATCTGCTGCTGCAGCATATACTGCGAGTGGTGCTCCTGCTGCGCCCTTGTAGCCTTGGGCCTCTCGGCCGTCCTCGCCGCCTTGCCCTCGGGCTCGTCCGGCCAATCGCGCACCTCGTCGCCGTTGACGACGATGTACCAGCGTATCTCCTCGCCGCGCTGCAGCTGGTCGCGCAGCCTCTCGAACCAGCCGGTGCCGGCGCCCTGCTGCTGCGCCTTCTTGCCGCCCTTCTTCTTGCTCTGACCGGTCGGCGCGCCCTCGTCGCAGGGACCCGTGATGGGCGGGTCGCGGTCGGCGCGCACGCGCTCCTCGTACCGCGCCACCTCGTCGAAGATCGAGGCCGACAGGTCTATCCTGACCGCGTAGTCGGCCACGTAGGCGTACGGCCGCGACACCTCGTCCAGCCGCACCGGGTCGTACTCTTCCAGCAGCTTGACGGCGGACCAGTCCTGCGCCTTGAGCTCGTCCTCGGCCGGCAGGCCGTGGGCGTTGAGCGGCGCGGAGGAAGGGGGCGGCGGCGGCGGCGGGTTCGACTGCTGCCGGCTGCGCGTCCTGCTCTGCGACCGGCTCTTCTGGCTCGCGGTGGCGGCGCCGCTCTGGCTGCGGCTGCGGGTTCCGTTGCCTCTGGGGACGTGGCTGCTCTCGTCGTCGCTGGTGGCGCCCGAGCCCCCGCCGGTCCGGAGGGTCAGCCTGCTGCTGCTGCCGTAGCCGCTGCCGCTGCGGGGCGGGGGCGCGCAGTAGGGCAGGAAGTCGAAGAGGTTGTAGAAGGACTCGAGGATGCACTGCGAGCTCCGGGCCGGGATGATCCACTCGGGCGAGGCGTCGTCGAGGTTCTGGACGATGACGAAGACGCGCACGCTGCGGCGCTGCCAGCGGAAGCCGTGGCAGAGGTAGGCGGGCATCGTTTAGGTGTGGTGCTGCCTCTGACTTCAGAGGATTTTGGGATTCCAAATTTAATCCAATTCCAAATACTGGCTCTGTCTCTGTCTCTCCCAAGTCTGAATGGAGGGGTTCGAGGATATGCTGGTATGTCTCGGGTTGACAATTTGGAATTTGTGTTCTCAGAAACAATATAAGTCCTGAAGGAAGCCAAAGCAGGGAGCTTTATCGTCGCAAGAGTGTTGGTTAGAGACAGAGGCGATCCTGGTTGGGCTCACAGACATCCAAACACCATCTGTCGCAGACTCCCAAATAGCCTACAAGAGTCGAGATCTTTCAGCTGCGAGTTGGGGTAGGACAAGACACAAGATCGGATGAATAACAGTCGGCACGGGGTTACTGCATGTGATTCCAATGCATGAGAACAAACAACGAAATGTCCGCCGGTCAAGTTGAGCTGCTGTGGAGTCTAGACCGGCGAAAGTGATAGCCAAGAGATCTTAATCCTTCAAAGCCGATCCTAGTTGAGATATGTTTTTGAACAGCAAAGAATGTCCATTTGCATGGTGATTGTGAGCTGAGTAAGGTACATCGAGAACATCTTGGCAGGAGGGGACCCGTTCGACAAGTTTAGCGGGGAGTTCCAGGTTTGAAGGGCTGCAGGGGTTGCATGGACCTAGTACAGGGGTAACCCCTGCCTGGAGCTCAAGAGCTCTCAGACCGAGAACGGGCGGTGGACGTCCACCGTACAATACCTACAAAGGAGGACAGCATATCGATTCCCAGTATACCAGCTCTTCTCGCTCCGAGACCAGCTGGATCGGCAGTGTACTATTTTCTGACTTGTAGTCGACATACTAACATTACCTGCACATAACCCTCACATGCAAGCCAACAGACGGCTTCTCAGAGATGCATCGTGGCGATGCTGGCGGGTCCCTGAACATGGCTCAACATCTCGAGGAGGACTACCAGGACCTTTAAATTACATAATTCGATGTACTGAAAGTAACAACACAGATGTGCCACGATTCCTCACTATTTTCCTGTCATAGGTATATCCAGTATCACAACCATGTTGAGAAGAACCCCTCTCTATAACCCGACTATCTCCAACAAGTGTTCAATACTCCTACACCAAAGTGCACACGATACTCCCCACGACAGGAACCCGTCGACAAGTGACATCCACGACATTCGGAAACTTGGTCCACACGCCCGCCCCGACAGGAACGGGCACGCTGGAGCCAGGAACGAGGATCCAGTACCGATTGTTCGCAAAGCTGAAGCCGTCCACGTCAATCTTCTGCGCACATCCGCCCTTCTTCCCGCTTCCGCTGGCCAAGGGCGTCTGCGTGCAGGAGACTGTCTGGTCGTGTGGTATGATGTGGATGGCGCTGTCGTCCGAGTACCAGTTCCAGAAGCGACACCGGCCGGCGTGGGCGTCGAGGTTCGGGTTCGGGTTTTCGGTGTAGACCAGAGACCTGCCCGAGTTGTTGGTGATGGAGCCGCAGCTGCGGCCTGAGCCGCAACCCCTGCGGCAGTCGGCGGCGAGGACGGATGAAGGGGATGTGCAGAGGGCGAGGATTATGGAGAGGAGGAGGCCGTGAAGATGCATGGTGACGGAGAGGATTCTCGATATAGGGGTAAGTGTAGACTATTCCAGCTCAGAGGCTTAAGAGGCTCGATGTTGTGCTAGGAGACTGGGAGTCGAGTGCTTGGAAAGAGCGAAGGCAGCGTGACTTGAAGAGAAAGGGATGACAGTGACATGGCCATGATGGCAGGGCATACTTATACTTGGAGGATACTCGAGAGTCCAATACTGGTCGACCCCCAGAGCTTCAGACGGAAATATCTGAATATCCCGTCTAACTTGCACTTGCTTGCTTGCTCTCGCTATGTTCATCGTATTCATCGGCTTCGAAGAGGTTGTTTGAGAACAAACGCCATCTTCAGTTGGCCAGAATAGACAACCAATCATTATGTCTTGGCGTGTCCCTTGATATGCTGCATATGAAGTTAGCCTGACGTATAATTCCAAGGCTGTGGCCAGATGAGTCCGCGAATGAGCGGGCAGAAAGAGTGTCCTGTTGGTACGCCTATTGGCGTGAGGCCTGACCAGGGGGCAAACTTGACGCTCGGTGAGCTCAGCTGCTATTACAGGTTCGTGTAACCTCTTGTTCAAGGCACATGCACCCATCAAGTGTTGCCAGTGTGTATGCCACAGAAATAGACCAGACGAGGTAATTTGACCACACCGAGATTCTGGGATCTGTATCTTCGAGTCTGCCGCTTGGCAAGGGAGAGCATTAGAGTAGTGGCAGATTGGCCAGCAGGCCCTCCAGAATTCTAATCCCTTGAAGAGGTCCCTAACATGATAGACACATCCAGATGGTCGTCGTGTTGCGTGACTTCAAGGCTGGTTGCTGCATGGACCTCAGTCCTCGGTTTAAGAGTGGACTTTGGAGCATTGTCGCTGTTGAAGATCGATATGGTAATTGCTCGCTCGGACTAGTGACGCCCTCCATATTGCGCCTGTCATTCAGCACAACGTAAGGTACGCACGCTGCAAAAATCTTTCCTCGGTTGGGTGCTTGACTGTCTCGTGAAAATATCTGTTCAGCGGACGGCCTTTCTGGATGGCCGTGTTAGAGCCTGTGTGGACGCCACAGCAGGAGAAAACTGGTACTCTCATAAAACGGATTGATTCTTCGGTTCGATAGAAGAACTTTCATTGCGACCCGCGTTGGTTAACATCTGTTCAGAGCGATACTTGTTTTTGAGGTGCTGGAACGACGACAGATCATGGCCCCACTTTTGGTTAGGGTTAGGGTTCCCCTCGACCCCAAGATGACAGGGAATTGGATGACGGTCAGCATTTGAGCATAGGGAAATGGCCGAGGTACTGTCGATGCATCGCTGCATCCTCCACACTGCTGACGATGTCGGAGCAGTCTCAGTCTGTTTTGACAGCCACAATCACCA